TCTGATTACGAACTTGTCTGTGAGCACATCAAGTCTTAACATATCTCTGTCATCATACTATGACAACATCAGACTGTGTAAGGTCCTTCAGGGCAAGTAGATATTCCTAATGTCTAGCAATAGCACCCATTTCATGTCTGTTACATGCTCATTAAACAAATGAATGACTTCATACATTGTTACCTCCTTCCCACACAGCGGGAGTCCTTCTAAATTCTTTATCATTCTTCCCAAATACAGTCTGACTGCTCTTATCACTCAGAACTCAATGCAGGAAATAAAACCCTCTCAAAGTAAGTTAAGGCTATAAGGACACAGGGGTTTACAGAATCAGTTGGAAAGTCTAAAGGGGCCCACTCTGGGTTGAAACTCCGGGAACAACCTTCAGAACACTGGAGGAGTGCTGTGCCAGGGAAGCTGCTACCACTGCCACAATCAAGGAAGGTGGGGCACCTGGAAGTCTCCCCTGATGACTGGGTTTGAGAACAAGTAGCTACTACTCTGATCTGGAAACTATAATCAGCACATTGCCGCTGCTGCACTCTGATGCAACCACCTCTCAATATTTGCAAAGCTAGAGACATCACTGGATCACAGCTGTAAAAATACATCACATCTCCATGACCTTGCTTGCCAGGAGAAATAGCCAAAGTAGCAGTATAACGGCCTTTGTCTCACTTCTGCCTTTTAAATCTCACCCGAGTACATCTGACTGGCTGCAAGATATTCTGAGAAAAATAATCCTTAGCTTTTCAGCCTCTGCAGTATAGCAAAGCACGCTGGAAGGAGATGGGAATGTATGCTGAATGCTAATTAACCATATTTGCCACTCCGCTTGTCTGAAATATATCCAGTGTCTTATCATCTGCAGCTGGGTCCCTTCCTTCTTCCCCAGCCCCCTTGCCCCATGCCCTGGTGCCTAAAAGACAAGGGACAAATCTTTGGTCTTGGTCCCTTTAGTCTACTCCTTCAGGGCACACTTCACCCTTTTCTGTGACCTGGGTGAAGCAAAATTTCTTAGCTGATTCTAAAAGCACAGACCTTAAGAAAAAATGGGTGTATTGAACTTCATCAAAATAAAAAACTAATGCTCTTTGAGAGGCATTGTTCAGAGAACTAAAAACAAGCCACCAAACAGGAGAAAACATTATATGTAATATAATATTTGCATGTATATTTTAATATGCAAATCATATATCTGGCAAAGGGCTTTTTAAAAATATATATTTATTTATTTCAGAGAGAGGGGGAGGTAGGGGGAGAGAGAGGGAGAGAAACACCAATGTGCAAGAGGTACATTGATCGGTTGCCCCTCACATTCCCCAACTAGGGACCTGACCCACAACCCACAATCGAACCTGTGACACTTTGGTTCGCAGCCTGCACTCAATACACTGAGCTACACCATCCAGGTGTCAATTTCTTTAAAAGTTAAATATATACCTACCAGCCCTGGCTGGTTCGATTCCCAGTCAGGCCACATACCTGGGTTGCAGGCCATGGCCCCCAGTAACCGCACATTGATGTTTCTCTCTCTCTCTCTTTCTCCCTACCTTCCCTCTCTAAAAATAAATAAATAAAATCTTAAAAAAAGAAAAAAACTGAGGCTTTCAACAACAGCAAAAAATATATATACCTACCATATGATCCAGTCATTCTATTCCTAGATATTTACTCCGAAGAAAATATGAGCACATGAAGGAAACATGGGCACACAAAGACTTGTACATGAATGTTCTTAGTACTTTATTTATAACAGAAAAAAACGGAAACAATCCCAAAGTTCATCATCAGGCTAATAGATAAACAAATATTGGTAATCTATACTATGGGGTACTCCTCAGGAAAAAAAGGAATGAACTATGAACAATAAATAAATCTCAAATTTGTGCTGAGTAAAAGAGGCCAAACGAAAAGAAAAAGAGTGCATACCACCCTGGCTGGTGTGGCTCAGTGGATTGCACACCAACCCGTGAACCGAAAAGTCTGCAGTTCTATTCCCACTTAGGGCACGGGCCTGGGATGCAGGCCGGGTCCCTGCTTGGAGTGCAAGATGCAACCAACTGATGTTTCTATTACATGTTAATGTTTCTCTCCCTCTCTTTCTCCCCTCTCTCAAAATAAGTATTTTTTTGTAAAAAAAGAGTATATACTGTATGATTCCACTCCATAAAATTCTAGAAAATTCAAACTAATCTATAGTGATGGCAATAAGGTCTATGTTTGCTTACGAATAGGAGAGGGTGAGAGAAATTACAAGGAAGCATGAGAAAGTTTGAGGAGTTAATGACATATTCATTATCTTGAATTTAATGATAGTTTTATGACAAAACTCATGAAAATGTACATATTATATATGTGCAGTTTATTATATGTTTTTTAAAAGATTTTATTTATTTTTAGAGAGAGGAGAAGGGAGGGAAATAGAGAGGGACAGAAACATCCATGTGTGGTTGCCTCTCTCACCCCCCTACTGGGGACATGGTCTGACTGGGAATCGAACTGGTGAAGCTTTGGTTCGCAGACCTGCACTCAGTCCACTGAGCTACATCAGCCGGGGATATTATATGTTAATTATACTTAAATAAGGTTTTAAATAAGGTTACTTTAAAATTAAAGTAAAGCAGAGACACTGGGACTGGGGAAGAAAAACAAACCATAGACTCTCTTTGTATATATTCATTTACATGATTGCTTGAAGTCTGTCTTCCTTGAGAGAGTAAAACATTCATAAAGCTGTGGCCATGCTTGTTTGCACAAATGCATATCTAATATTTAACATAGAATCTTAGGGACTTGTCAAATATATGTTGAAAAGAGAAAAGAGAGCCCTGGTTGGTGTGGGTCAGACTTAGTCTATTGAGTGAGGGCCTGTGAATCAAAGTGTTGCAGGTTCGATTCCCAGTCAGGGCACATGCCTGGGTTGCAGGTCACGGCCCCCAGCAACCGCATATTGATGTTTCTCTCTCTCTCTCTCTCCCTCCCTTCCCTCATTAAAAATAAATAAATAAAATCTTAAAAAAAATCAACCAACAGTCCTGGCCAGGTCGTCCCCTGGCCATGTTGTTCAATAGCTCGGAGTGACATCCTGTACACCAAAGGTTGTGGGTTTCATTCCCAGTTGAGTCAGGAGGCAACTGAACAATGCTTGTCTTTCACATTGATGCTTTTTTCTCTTTCTGTTTTTCTCTCTCTCTCAAAGCAATAAACATATCCTCAGTGGATTAAAAAAAAAAAAAAAGAGTCAATGCCCTGGTTGGTGTGGCTCAGTGGACTGAGTGCCAGCCCGCAAACCAAAGGGTCGCTGATTCAATTCCCAGTCCGGGTGCATGCCTGGGTTGCAGGCTGGGTCCTCGGTGTGGGGCGTGGGGGAGACAACCACACATTGATGTTTCTATCCCTCTCCTCCTCCATTCCCCTCTCCCTAAAAATAACTAAATAAAATCTTTTAAAAAAAGTCTTTTTCTAAAAAAAAAAAAACGTTGCTGATTTGATTCCCAGTCAGGATACATACTTAGATTGCAGGTTTGATCCCTGTTGGGGCACATACCAGAGGCCACTGATTGATGTTTCCCTCCCTGTCTCTATCTCTCTTCCACTCTTCCTCTCAAAAAAAATCAATAAACATATCCTTGGGTAAGGATAAAAAAAAGTGTGTCTATGTTGATACATGTAAATCTATTGCCTCTGCTGTATGGTTTTTCATTGTATAAATCTGTTCCTCAACCTTTGTTTTATTATCTTCCCCAGCGAGAAAATATAATTAATTTTGAGTTCTTAAATGAATCACAATTTTAATTTCTCCCAACAAGAGAAATTAAAAACTAAGTAATAAGGTTTTTGTTGGATAGGAATAAGATTGGGAGGGTCACTACTACAAACCACATCTAAAATTTTTGGTACCTCTAAAAACCAATTTTCCTGTTGCCCCTGTTGACATTGCCCCGTCGAGAAAACATGATATAAATATACCAGGCTTCTAATTTTTTATTTCCAGAAATGATGCAACAAACAGCCTTGGGTATGTATTTTCTGCCCTGACCAGGGATCAAACCATCAACCTTGGTGTATCAGGACGATGCTCTAACCAACTGAGCTACTTAGCCAGGATTATATTTTCATACATATGTATAAAAATACATACCTATAAATTATGAGGGTATGTTCATTTCAGCTTGTTAAATTGCTATGCAAGGTGTTTATGCCAGTTTTTCATTATACCAATAGTGTATGATTCCCTATTTTTCCATTTCTTCACCAATACTGGAGTTGGCAGACTTTATGATTCTGCCAATCCTGTGTGAAATACTATAGTACTGTTGTGTCAATTTGCATTTTTCTAATTACTAGTGAGAATTTTTTTCGTGTTTATTGGCCACTTGGGTTTTCTTTTAGTTAATTGCCTATTTATACCCTTTGTCCATATTTATGTTGACTTTGGTCTCTCTTTTTTGGGGGGGTCTCTTATTTGTGGAAAGAACACTATTTCAGTTATCTATGAGACTCCAAAGTTGATAGCATAAAACAATCACCATTTTATTAGGCCTATGGGTTCAAAGATGCTCTGAAGTTTAAGCTCCACTAGATTCACAGCAAGTTGGCCTCTGTGAGAACGCTTTTCTATGTTTTCTGAATCTCTTTCCTTCTTTAACATTTCATAAAAAGCCTGAAGCTAGAATTCTGGGACTTAACAGCGCTATTCCATCACGCGTCATAGGGGTTCCATTATTTGGCCAAGCCTGTGTCTTGGGTAGGGCCTGCCCTTCTCCACTTCCTTCACTACAGCCAGCTTTGGACAGCAATTCTTCCTTACTATAGGTGAAGAACGCGGAGACCTTTTCTACGACGCCGGTTGTTGGCCAGGGACTTGATTGACAAAGACGTTAGCGAATGGCTCTGAAGTGAGCTGCCCGAGTTTATGCATGTTTAGTCAAAGGAAGGGCAGACATGCAGCCAATGGCCAATGAGGACTGGCCTGAAAATGATCGGGGGCGGGGCTTCCTTGGAGGGGCGGACTCAGGATAAAGAGTCTGAAGCGGCCCTTGGGCGAGTCAGAAGCATATCCGGTGTTTAAAGAGCTTTGTGGGCTCCAGAGAGGCGGGTGAGAAGGTACGTGTGAAACTGGGATTGCGCAAGCCGGCAGTGGAGAACGAAACAGGGGTTATTACTTATTGTATGAACGAGGATGGGAGTAGTCTCCGTTTTCGGACAGACTGGAGCTCGTGGGAAAAGACCCTCAGCGACTGGACTCCAGAGGGCTGGGTGGAGAGGGGAAACGGGAAACTGCTACAGCGCACGCGCAGCTATGCGCGTGGGGGGGGGAGGGGGGAGGAAGTCAGCTAGGTTTTGTGGAGCGTTCAGGTGTCCACTCTTCGCGGGAGCGCTAGCGAAGACCCTTTTTAGCCTCTTCCCCCCCTTACTCCCAGTCTGCGTCCCCCTCGCTCCGCTGAGAACAGACGCTGGGGCCCCTTGCCCAGGCCCATTTGGAATTTAGGGCACGTCCTCCACCCCTTCCTTCCGAAGGGAATGAAAGCGAAACCTCCCGGGTTTGTGGTCACCCCTGCTGGACCCGACCGATCACTGCTCCACCTCCGGGCCCCTGGGTGAGCGCCTGAGGCCCTCGAGAAGGGCCTGGTCGGGCAGGCTGCCCTGTCACGGCGGGGCGGGTGATGTCACGCTCTGTGACACGCGAAGCTCCTTAGTTACGTGCAAGCCAACAGCAGAAGCGGGAGGTGTGGAGAGATCGGGCTTGGCTTGGCTATCCAGCCCTACAGGGCAGCCCGCTCTGGTCTGATTGGTTTACCTTCGGACAGGTGAGGTGGCTTGGTTTTATTTAGCCCTGAGCTTTGTGGGCGACTTTTTCAAAGTCCGATTGGGAAAGGCGGTGGTGTTAGGCGTTGTGTTTTTTCTGGAGCCTGCTTGCTGGAGCTGTGATAATTAGGCTGTGGTATTTTTGTGTATTAAGTGTGGAATTGCTATCCCGTGCCAGCCCGGGTTGCGTTGCCCATCCCAAACAAGGGCAAAAACCTCTCTGAACTTGAGACTCTGTTTTAACAATAGTTAACTTATGAATGTGTAACCCAGTAGAAGAGCTGACTGTGCCTGAAACACAAAGATTTTTTAAGGTTAAAGGTTAATGGAGAATAGGCTTTTCTAGTTACTTATTTATTTCTATTTTATCTTTTGGAAGAATGTGCAGTTTAAGAAGTCAGTTCAAGACGGGTTTTTCTAGTCGCACCACCACATTTCTTATGGCTTCTGTGAACACACTTATTTCTGTAATAATTAGATTTACTCTCTTTGATGTTTTCGTATTCCTCTGTTGAATATTACTATGTTGAAGTTTAGATTCTGCAGTTTTCCATCAGGGGGACAGAATAGTTGAATTCCTGAGAAATGCAATTCGTAATTTAGATTCAGAGTTTCCTTCTTAAATTATTCATCTTGTTGTGGAAACAGGACTTAGTACCCACTTTCTTTCCTTCTCTACTATTGATCTGACTGAAGCCTTGCTCCTAAGTAATAGGAAAGATCAAATTAACCCACATAGCCAGCATTTGAATAGTTTTTCCTGTTAGGATATAGTTCATGCTTATTGTAGAAATGCTAAAAAATACAGAACGTGTAATAGGAATCAGCATATGTTAATTTAAAAGAAGATTTCCCTTGATCTATGGCTGGAACTGCCTTGATGAAAACTTGCTTTTCTACTGTAGGGTGTACTAGTAGAAAGGGTATCGCCACACTTCAGAGGTCAGAAGACTCATAACCTGGTTCTGGCTCTGCTGTTTCCATATTTTTGACATGTGATGTTGGTCTAGTTGATACCAATGTCCATTTTTTCACTTTAGAATTATTTCACACAGGTTCTTATTGGCATTCAATAAGCTTGATAGAGAGCAGGTGTTAGTTATCCTTATCTTGCAGGTGAGGAAGCCTAGAGGACCATAGGTAAAATGACTTTTCCCAAAGTTATGTGTTAGAAAATAGCAGGACTTGTGACTTAAATCCAGTGCTTGTGCCACTATTACACTGCCTTTTTTAACTTTCTTTTTTTAATCTTTAAAGTGGGACTTGCTCTTCCCTCATCTATTGGTGTGAAGATCAAAGGGGATAATATATATAAAACACTGTATATGAAAGTTGTAAAATTTTATATAAATGCAGTCAGTGGTATTATAGGAGATGGTATTGCTGGCCCGAAGAGTTTCACTTTATTTCATAAACTACCACAAGAGCATTAATCTCTCCTGGGAAGACACTGAATATTCCCTCGATGCTCAATCTTCTAAATTATCCTTTGCTACTTTGACTTGGTTGTAGAAGCTGGTGGAAATGTCTTCCACTCAACTGTGTTTTGTTTCCCCAGAGCTTCTAATCAGATTTCATGGAATGGTTTTTATGCACATTTTTGTTTTCCAAAGACATTATTCAAACCTGGAGGTTAGGCTGGCTGTTAGGAACACTTAAGTTGACCGCTCAACAGGTCTCCCTCTCAGCAAGCTGGGGAATGTTGATTTGAGGTTATAAAGTTTTTTTTTTTTTAATTTAATCTTTATTGTATTTTTTTCCTTTTACCATTTAGTCCCCTTATACCCTCCTCCCCCTGAAGTTGTAACATTCTTGATCAGATAGATAATAGGATCTTGTATTTGCTATGGAGACTCTTGGTTGTGCCTTGAAGTGTGGGGGCTTGCAGGCTGATTCATATGCAAGCTCTGCTCTGAATGTGCTTAAAGCCAAATGTGTGCGAGAAGTTTTCTTACAATTAACTGGAATCTAAAACAATTGAAAAAAGAGCTTCAGGGGTGAGGATTGTGTGGATGTGCAGTTTGTCCCAATCTATGCCTGTTTTCATTTGGGCTAAATATGGTGTTAACTGGGGAGGGATTACTAGTTTATACTGGAAGATGATTATGTATTTAGGACATTGGGGCCTTCTTATGATTCAGAGTCTGTCAACAGTTGTGGTCATAGAGAGGGAGATTTAGTAGTGTCAAAATTTGGTACAGCCCTGGCTGGTGTAGCTCAGTGGACTGAATGCAGGCTGTGAACCAAAGGGTCGCCGGTTTGATTCCCAGTCAGGGCACATGCCTGGGTTGCAGGCCAGGTTCCCAGTGGGGGGTGTGCAAGAGGCAACCACACACTGATATTTCTCTCCTTCTCTTTCTCCTTCCCTTCCCCTCTCTCTAAAAATAAGTAAATAAAATCTTTAAAAAAAATTTTGGTACAAAAAAATAATATATTGAAGGCAATAGGCATTTCATCTCCAGGTACTGGTATGGTTCTGAGGCAGTGCCCTAGAGAGACAGGATTTAGTATTAGCTAATCCAGGGATTTTGGCCCAAATTGGGTGAGGTTGGGGGGGCTGGCAGCTGAGATATATATGGTTAAGATCTACAGTAATCAAAGTCTAGTCCTAGTTGAAGAGGAATTTCTCAAAGCAAATAGATCAACTTTTTTTTTTTAGATTCTGTTTATTTTTAGAAAGAGGGGAAGGGTGGGAGAAAGAGAGGGAGAGAAACATCAATGTGTGGTTGCCTATCACATGACCCCTACTGAGGATCTGGCCCAAAACCCAGGCATGTGCCCTGACTGGGAATCGAACCAGCAACCCTTTGGTTCACAGGCCATCACTCAGTCCACTGAGCCACATCAGCTGGGGTTGGATAGACCAACTTTGAATGGTCAAAGCATTAAAGTAACAACCATTTACTTCATCAAAAGCTCTATCACATCAGATTATCGCTTAGTTGTTAGGCTGTCTCAAAACACTTGTGCCTGTGTGGGACAGGAAGTACAGTATAAATGTCCCAGAAGAGAGGCATGGCATTTAAAGAAAAGTCATTTTTAACTAGTGATAAGATTTGTCAAGTTTCTTTAAATTCTAGTTTATAACTTTCTTACCCCCCCCCCATTTAATTTATTTCTCATTTAGGTAAATGTTAAGATTTCAGGATATATAGCTAGCTGTGAGTTAATGGTGAATAATATTTTTTAAAGTAATTTACAGGGTATATGTAAATTAGGCCTGTGATAAATGCCTTCTAAAACTATACTTTAAAAAGGGATAAGCATACACCAAGGACTTGAGAGTAATAGTAGAGTCAAATCTCAGTTCTTGAACGTTTTGGTCCTTGACCAAGTTATTCATGGAAAAAATGTCTTGGTTGTCTAACAACTTCGGGTCTTGATTCTCTACCCGACAGCCCTTTTATTGCTGACACCTGTATGATTAGTCATGTGTCTCTCAGGTGACCAAAAAAAGGAGATTTGGCCCTGGCTGGTGTGGCCTAGTGGACTGAGCACTAGCCTGCGAACCAAAGGGCACACGTTGATTCCCAGTCAGGGCATGTGCCTGGGTTGTGAGCCAGGTCCCCAGTAGCGGGTGTGCGAGAGGCAACCACAATGGACGTTTCTCTCCTTTTCTTTCGCCCTCCCTTCCCCTCTCTCTAAAAAATAAATAAATAAAATCTTTCTTTAAGAGATTCAGTTTTCAAACAAGTCACTTCTCGGACAGTTTTCCAGAATGAATTTTCAAGAACTGAGGTTCCGTTGTATTTTCTTTAGTAACAGTAATGGTTAACATACTGAGTCAGTGTTATGTATGAACCACTATTCCAAGCACTCTATTTGAGTTATCTCACTTAATCCTCAACCCTGTGGAGTAGGTAATATACAGGGTCCGGCACAAATAACACCCCTTTTTTAAATTACAAAATCATAAGCATGTAATTCTATAATATAACTATAACACACTCAAGCATACCATATGACATTTTAGGTGAAAAGTTCAAATTAAAACTGTAAATTGTTACACCCATATTATTACCCTACCAACCACACTCAAGCAGGTGTGACTTCTGCTGGACCCTGTATATTTACTCTTTACAAATGAGGTAACTGAAGCACAATGAGGCTAAGTGCCAGAAATTTTTTGCATGTCATACAGCTAAGGAAGTAATGGTCAGATTCGAGTGCAGCAGGTTTTGCTTTTAATTACTATGCTTAAGGATATGGCTGTATAAATTCTGAAAACTATTCAGTAGGAGGAACTGAAAAATTACAAATGCTCCTGCCGCCTCCTTTAAAAAAAACAAAACAAAACAAAACACGTGGGATTTCTTTTTTCTCTTAAGTATCAATTTGGTCCCTTCCAGATGTGAGGGATCAGAATTCAAGATGGTCAAATTACTACGACAGGAATGAAGAACCTCAGTTCACAAACTAAATGTTTAATTAGAAGTGTGAGCAGTGCTTCTTTGACTTGCTGGTATAATGTCCAATTGTATGTGCTTTAGGCAGCTGCTCTCCTGGCTCCAGCAGCCAGCAGGCTTTTTTCAAAGGCAAGGTTTTTTTGTTTGTTTTTAAATGCATGATTGTTTCTGTTTTGCACAGCTTTCTTTTTAAACTTTTAAAAGATCTTATTTATTTACTCTCAGAGAAAGGGAAAGGGAGGGAGAAAGAGAAGAAGAGAAACAAACATTGATATGAAAGAGAAGCATCGATTGGTTGCCTCTCCTCTGTGCCCTGATCAGGGTAGCAGGCCCAGAACCCAGGCATGTGCCCTGACTGGAAATTGAACTGTGACCTTTCACTTTGCGGGACAGCGCCCAACAAACTGAGGCACATCGGTCAGGGCCGTTCTGCGTAGCTTTTGACCATGATTCATAAGCACTGTACTTAATAGGTATTGCAATAAGATAGCAGGGAATGTTTGTAATGTAAGTCCTGGCCCTTTACAATAATCTTTTCATTTTAGGACAAAGGTAAGGAAGATACCTAGAACCAATGGATTTAAGAAGACCTTAGACATAGATAATATGTTTCCTCATACATAGTTGTTAATGCTCGGAATGGCAATAGGGTAGAATTATTAATGAAAGACCTATCTTTTATATCCTTCCTTCAGGGTTTAGTAGACCATGTCAGCTGGGTCTGATATTTATCAAAATTGTATCTTCTGAGAAAGGCTGATGAGCATGACTTCCTGTCCCTGAGGGACATCTAGGTGACTGCTGACCTTTGCCTTAGTTTTCACTTCAATTAATGTCGTATTTTGGTTGGTGAATACACACTTTGGCTACCTGTACATATGTCTTCCATTTGTGTTTCATTTCTTGATTAAAGCTGTGTTAAGTAGCACGGGTTTTGAAGGGAGAAGTCCTTTGGTTTTTTGTTTTTTGGGTTGGCTCTGGCAGAAGCAGCTGACCTGGGGAACCACAGAATGGTGACACTTCCAACAGCTTTAGCAGTATATGCATGACAAATTTGGACAGATTCTGAAAGGTTTGGGGATTCCTGCTCTCCTGAGGATGAAGGCTTAAAATGAGGCTCTGGACCAAATTAACAGAATTTGGCTATGGTTAATACCTGAACATTTACCTGTCGTTTACAAATGCAGTACGGGCAGATTTCCCAGGAGTCCAGAAGGCACTGTCCTCATTGTGTTCTGTGTGAAAAATCCCACCTCCCTGTTTTACAATTAGTTGAATATAGAATTTCTAGACTTCTGTACCAGTTGAGATTCAGGGTAAGGCAGACCAGTGCTGGTGTATTTTGTAATGGGCTTTGATGTGTGTTGGGACTGCTGCAGTAAAGCACTTCAGAGCAACAAGTAACATACATTTTTTTAATTGTGGTAAAGTACCCAATGTAATTTTAATATTTACCATTTTAATATACTCTTTTTAAAACAAAGATTTTCATTAACTGGGGGGGTCCCCTCTGGATGTTAGCTGAGCTATTTGGTTAATGGTTTATTTAAAACTTGCTGAGACTGAGAGTACTTTTGGTAAGAACACTTTTTTTAACTCATTACTTATCTGCACCTTCGTTCTTATCTGTTTGGTACAGATCTAGAGCAAATTATCATATTTCCTTGATTCTAAAACTAACTTTTCCCCCTCATACTTTAACATTTCAGAAAAGATGTGATATGTACATCATGACATCTTAAATCTGTAAACTGTATTGCATTCTTCTTCTCCCTTAAAGTTATGAAAATTGCTGTTATATCTTTACATCTAGAAATTTTGGTAGTTACATTAATTTTAAAAAAATTATTGACTGATTTTAGAGAGAGAAAACAACATTCCACTTATTCATTCATTGGTTGGTTCTGGTATGGGGTCTGCAACCCTGGGTACCGGGATGACGCTCTAACCAACTGAGGTACCTGGCCAGGGCGGTAGGTATATTTTTCACTTAAATGTTAAAATAGGTAGTAATGTTGGGAAACTGGTTTTATTTTTTATGGTTTTAAACTACAAGCCACTATTAAATCATGGAGAAATTCCTGTTCGACACCTCCCTCCTTTCCCTCACACAACCTTTGATGGTTTTTCCATCAGCTGTTGTAAGAGCCCCGGAAAGGCACAGTCATTACCCCCCAGGGAATGCAAAAGAGGGACCTGGGACAGAGAGGTTGCTGCCTTTCTCCCCTCCTGTTTCCGCTTGGTGGGGTCTGGTTACAGAGTGTTGCCCCTTTCTGACTAACAGTCCCCTAGGTATCTGAGTATTTACTCCCACCCCCTCCTTTTTTAACTCTTGAAATTGGAAGCAAGAGATACTTCAGGTTGTTATGAATACTTCAGAGAAACTTGGCTCTAAAGGTTGCTTCAGTACTGTTGCAAGTTCTGTCTAGGGATGTCATTAGGGGCGTTAATGGAAGCCTTAAAGACACTTTGCAGGTGCTGGATTCTGCCATCCTGTAAGCGTGCTCTCTGGAGGATGTACTCATCATGGTTGTGGAAGGCTGTGGCTGGCAGCGCAACAGCCTGCAATAATTGCACCATCTAGGTCAAGAGGACCTGGAGCCCTGAGACTTAGAGAAGAGAGCATCAGCTTTAGTAGGTTCTGCCTCTTCTTACCATATCTGTTCTTAAGAACAGAACTAACAAAAGAATTAAGGTGAGTGGGAATGGTGGGAAAGGAAAGAGGAAATCAGAAAGCAAGCTGGACGTTTTAATTGTTTCATTTGTGAGAGAGCCTCAGGAAACAAGTGGTAAAATTTTGAACTCTAAGCATGGTATCTTTCCACTGGCCCAGGATGCCTCAGGAAATTGGTTTGCTTGCCCAGATGAGTTTTGCTGAGTATTAGGTTAAGTCCTGATGAGAATGGCTGTGAGTAGTTTTAGTCCCCTCCTCCGCTCCCTTTTTTGGTAAATGTGAAAAGGATCGGGCCTTGTGAGTCTAACAAGAATCTGGAAGATTTATGTCTAGCAAAGGTGAAAGAGCTTGATTAGATGTTTAGTTCTGTAGATTGAGTATGTTTGTTTAGGATTGCATGTGAGGTAGGGGAGGGAGCAAAACTTAAGAGCCTGACTTGATGGTATTGATGTGTAATGTGATCTGGGTATAGTTTAGTTTTTGGGTTTGTTGTTGTTGTTGTTGTTGTTGTTTTAATGCCCTTTGGGACTGTTGGCAAGATCTGAGTAAGATCTGTACATCGGATGATAGAATTGTATCATTGTTAATTTCCTGATTTTGATCATCATTTTTAGGATATACACACTAAAGTATTCATAGGTAAGGGGCATTGTATCTACATGGCAAAAAAAGTCTACACATTTGCTATATGTAGAGAAAGGATAAAGCAAATAAGGTGAAATAGTAATTTAGTCTCGTGGTGATGGGTATACAGGAATTCTGTGTACTACACCAAGTCTTTTGCAGGAAGGGTTCTGAAATTATGTTAAAAAATGTCTTTTAGCACAATTTTCTTTTTCATGGAGGTAGGAACTTTCCTCTTTTTAAAATTATGAATCTCTTTGTAGTTCAGTTCTAAAATGCATTTGGTAGAAAGCTTCTACATGTATGTTTTTAAAATGTAAGTCTTAGTGTAGACCTTTATAGTTTTTCTTTTTTCTTTTTAGTCTTTGAAGTTCTGTACCGTTGCTGAGGGAGTTCTGTAGCATCTTGAGACAGTAACATAAAATCTTTCTGTTTCAGTGACTGGGTTCCTTTAACTAGATTGCTAATTGAGAATTTCTCAAAGAAAGTGGTCTTTTATTTTATTTTTAAAGATTTTATTTATTTTTAGACAGGGGAAGGGAGAGAGAAGGAGAGAGAAGAGCTGTGTGTGGTTGCCTCTTGAGCACCTTCTACTGGGGACCTGGCCTGCAACCCAGGCATCTGCCCTGACTGGGAATCAAACCAGGACCCTTTGGTTTGCAGGCCAGCACTCAATCCATTGAGCTACACCAGCCAGGGCAGAAAACAGTCTTTTAAAGGGGCAAATTGCCTCCTGAAAGAATAGAAATTAAATTCCAGTAATGAAATACCTTGTAGGAGAGGAAGATGGGTCATTTCTTCCATCCCCTTTAAATTGGTTGATTATGATTACAAGTGTATTCTAAAAGGAAATATATAAAAATAAAAATGGTTGTGTTAGAACAGTGGGATTGTAAATACTTTGTTTTCCAAACTTGTATTTTTTTTATAAGAAAGTTGTTTGTTATTTTGTCTGTATTTGTACCTTTAAGATAACCTTTCTTCTTTTTACTCTTTATTCCACAGTGCGGAGGCCGTGTCCCACAGACTCTGGCATCATGAACATTTTTGATCGGAAGATCAACTTTGACGTGCTCTTAAAATTTTCCCATATGTAAGTGTGTTGACCTTGACCACAGTTTCTTACTGCTCTTCCTTTCACGTCTGGTTTTCTTTTCCTGGTTTATTAAATTTTGTGTCCATCGACTGACATTGACTTTGCTAGAGTTCTGAGGGTATGATAAGCACCAGATTCTAAGGACTGCTGTGTGATCACTGGAAAGCCATTTCATTACTCTAGTTTCGGTGCTGATTGTTCATAATTACGGATTTCAGGCTCTTCCCCAGCATTTAATATTCTGTGTTAACCTATGTTCAAAACATTCCTTTTTAAATTGTAACATGACTTTCACATATCCCCTGGGAAGGAGAAGAGACGGAAATGATTCTTAGCTTAGAGATGAGGTTGGATTGGCCCCGGAGTGATGGCTGTTACTCACATTCTTTCCCAGAACCCCCTCGACACAGCAGCACCTGAAGAAGGTCTATGCCAGCTTTGCCCTGTGTATGTTTGTGGCAGCCGCAGGGGCCTTTGTCCATGTGGTCACTCATTTCATTCAGGTAAGAGCATTTTTTTCTCCTGGTTGCTGTTGTACAATATGTAATTGGAAGAGACTAGCTCAGCAGGGTGGTACAAGCCTATACATCTGTCTCCCTAATCCTATTTAGAAGTTTGGTATCTGAACTCAGCCAAAGCCAGCCAATAAATATTGAGGACATGTAGAGCCCTTTAACTTTTCTGGCGACTCTACCCTTTCTCGATGTTCAGCTTTGGAATTCTTAACCCTGACACTGGAGGATGTGTCTGTTGTGCAAGACCCCACCCACTGAGCAGAGGCCTAACGTGCGTGCTGGTGTTCTCCACAGTAACCTTTTTCTCTTTTCCTCCTGCTTCTCTTTTTTTGTGTGAATGGCTGTACATGTACAGGAATGATTCCACTACACGGATACAAAACACTGTGATTAATTATCAGGAGGGGCTGGGTTGGGGCCTTTAAGGATTTGACCCGTTTGGTTCTCTGGTACACTTACATCGGCATGGTTGAGTGAAAACCCCTTTAATAACTCAATTTCCTGTGTGGAGGGAGAGTTTGGGTTTCATCAGTAGGAATAGAAGGGACAGTTGAGGAGTAATCAGTTAAGTTTGAAGTTCTCACTGGCCAAGACTGGTCCCTAGTAGAGCGTCCTTTTCAGGGTAAGTACCAAGGTGTGCCTGTGTTGGCATTGGCGCTGCGAACAACTGTCCTTGTGCCCAGGCATTTCCTTTCAGGGATTGTGTGAAAAATTACTCTAGATACTCAAAGGATAGGACTTTGATCCCTTGAATTTAAGACTTGCTTTTAGAGAGAGGGAGAGAAACATCAATGTGTTGAGAGAGATACACTGGTCAGATCAGTTGCCTCTCACACACCACTAGTTGGGGACCCGGCCCACAACCCAGGCATGTGCCCTGACTGGGAATGGAACTGGTGACCTTTTGGTTCGCAGTCTGGTGCTCAGTCCACTGAGCCACACCAGCCAGGGTGATCCCTTGAATTTAGATGAAAACATACTCTACCTTTTAGGCAAGAGTGGCCCTTTTAAGTAATGTAAAATAAAGCCGACCTCATTATTCATGGATTTCGTATTTGTGAATATACCTGCTCGCGAAGATCTGTTTGTGGCTCTGAGATCAGTACTTTCACAGACATTCACAGTTGTACCCGGAGCAGCAGACAAATGTGAGTGCCCATCACACCGTGTTCCAGCTGAGGTTGAACCAGACAACCCACGGCCGCATTTCAAGTTCTTAAGCTGTAAATAGTAGTCCTTTTTACGGTCCATGTAGTGCTGCATTTTTTTGCATTTTTGTTGATAATTTTGCTGTTTAAAATAGCTCCAAGTATAGTGCTCAAGTGTTCTTAGTGTTCCTAATTGTGAGAAGACTAATGTGCCTTATGGAGAGACTGTATGTTAGATACACTTTGTTCTGGCGTGAGTTACAGTGCTGTGGCTGCGAGCTCACTGTTAATTAATTGACAAATATAGCGAAGGTTTTGTATTGGTCAGTTGATGAAAATGTGGCGGGGGGTTTATGACAACCTAATCACTGATGTCCCACAAGAATGGACTGTATACCTTTAAAGGGCGGAAGGAACTTTGTGTATATGTCCTGAAGGGTTTCTTTCTTTTTAAATGCCTATAGCTTTTTCCCAACGCTTTATAAGAAAAGACTTTTTTCTTACAAAACTGAGGCCTGTTCATTGTAGAGAATTCAGATAACAGACTAATGATAAATAGATATAAAACTCTGTAATCCTATTACCCAGAAATAACTACATGCGTTTTGATAATAATCCTCTGTCTCAGTCCATTCAGGCTGCTATAAAACAATACCATAGACTGGGTGGCTTAAACCAGCGGTCCCCAACCCCTGGGCTTGCTGAGCTTTGCCTCCTGTCACCCCGCTACCCCCGTCAATCCACAGTGGTTCACCTGAGCCCCCCTCACCCCCATCTTCCACGAAACTGGTCCCTGGTGCCAAAAAGGTTGGGGACCACTGGCTTAAATAACAAAAAGTTGTTATTTTTTAAAAAGATAACTACTTATTTATATTTTAGAGAGAAGGAAAGGGAGGGAGCAAGAGGGAGAGAAACATTGATGTGAGAGAGAAACGTCAATCAGGTGCCTCTTGTATGCACCCCAACCAAGAATTGAACCCCCAGCCCAGGCGTGTGCCCTGACTGAGAATTGAACCCATGACCCCTTTGCTTTGTGGAATGAAGCCCAACCAACTGAACCACACCGGTCAGGGTAACAGCAAACTGTTCTTACAGTTTTGGAAGCTAGGAAGTCTAAGATCAAAGTGCCAGGAGATTTGTCATGTGGCAAGGGTCCACTTCATGTTTCGTAAACAGCCATTTTCTTGCTGTGTCCTCACATGGTGGAAGGGACGAGGGAGCTCTCAGGGTTCCCTTTTTATAAGAGCCCCTTCCTGAAGGCTCCGCCCTTATGACCTAATCACCTTCCGAAGACCCTGCTTCTGAATACCATCATATTGGGTGGGGGGGTAGGATTTAAACAGGAATTTGGGATGGAGGACATAAACATTTCATTCTTAACACCCTCTCTCAGTCTTTTTTCTCTGTATATGTATATGTATTTGCATATATTTAAAAGTGATCACAGAGGGGTCGTTTCTACTTGTTCTACCAGTTGGAATATATTTTCAGCACTTGTCCCTGTGGTTCATTTTTGGCTATTTCTTGGGCGAGACCCATAGTTTGACTAGGGTAGTTGTGGTTCATGGACCGCCCAGGCCAGAACAGCCTTCGGCGTCTACCGTGGCCCTGACCCTGTCCTTCAGGGCTTCTGGCTTCTCTCTTCAGCCCACACTGCATTTTCCATTGCCTCCAGGTTAGAAGCAAGTACTAGGCAGTTCAGATGACTGTTTGATTCTAATGAAGTCTCCTGCAAGATAAATTTGATACTTCAGCTCTGATTCTGGATCTGACAGGCTGGCCTGCTGTCTGCCCTGGGCTCCCTGGGATTGATGATCTGGCTGATGGCCACACCTCACAGCCGCGAGACCGAGCAGAAGAGACTGGGGCTTCTTGTTGGATTTGCTTTCCTTACAGGTGTGTTAAGGAATTGGGTCTAATTTGGGGGGCCGGGGGGTGGAGACTATTTCTTTATTATCACTTCAGAGTAGGTTCTGAGATTCGTATTTAATCTGATTTACCCCAACTGATACACTTATCACCCAACTTTATATTTGAATGTGTTTTGCCTTATACTGCTTTCTTACTTCGTGTAGGTGCATCTTGTTTCCCCACATAGAGGATAAGCTCTTTGTGACTGGTGATTACTTTTGTATCCAAAAATAAGCATTCGTGTGCTTGAATGAATGAGGTTTAAGAGCTTAGGTAGCATAACTTGTTACTGGTAGACATGAGACTAAACAAGGCCTAAGAACCTGACTTAGTTGGACTCACACTGGCAAGTATTGGAGAAGCATCCACCCATTCTGAACCCTACAGGCAATTAATTAAAGCCATACATTGAAATGCATCACACAGGGCCTTTTGCTGATTATCAAGTAAAGAATGAAAAGCACAGCACTTGTACAACAGTGTCTACAATATCCAAGACCTGGAAGCAGCCCAAGTTCCCATCAGTAGATGAGTAGATAAGAAAGCTGTGGTACATTTACACAGTGGACTGCTGGGTGACCGTGAAAAAAGGAGGATATCTTAACCTTTTGCGACAGCATGGGTGGGCCTAGAAGTTATTGTGCTAAGGGAAATAAATCAGTCAGAGAAACACGAATACTATATCATCTCACTTATATGTGGGATCTAATGAACAGAATAGAAACAGATATGGATATGTGGAACAGATCGACAGCTCTCGGGGGAGAGGGAGCCAGATGAAAGGAGGTGAGGGGATCAGCAAAAAATCATTTGTGCATGATACGTACACACAGACAACAGTGTGGCGACGGCCAGTCGGGGGGGGGGCAACGGTGGGGAGAATATGAGGGCATCTGTAATAGTGTCAACAAAAAAATAAAGTTTTATTTAAGCACTTCTAGAATTGTCATTAAAGGAAACCAGACTAAAGTTACACAGTAAAAATACTTACCAAGCAACATTTGATTTAGTACAGCTCAATCTGAGTGAGTCTAATCTACACCATGTTGAAGAGATTGAAGAAGGGTGGGGATTTAGAGATTAAGATTTTTAGATCAGCAAACCTAGTTTCCAAAACCATTACGGGGTGGAGTCCAAAGGAGAAAGGAGAGTAACCAGAGTGGAGGAAGTGCTGGAGCCGGAACAGGTTGCCGTGGCCTGCCGCTGGCACAGACCACCTGCGGAACTGGTCTGGCTTCTGCTCTGCTGCAGTCAGTCCTGCAAGACTCAGAGATTGCCGGCCACAAGGCTCTGCTTCACTCTTAACCCTTGTTTCTGGTCTCGTGCCTGGTCTGGCCCACATTGCATCAGTCCTCAGAGGAATGGTTTAGCTCAAACTGTTTGGCATGCCTATGTCATTTGTCCTTCTGGAGGTTGTCAGTGATGTTCAGCTGACAGGACGATTTTGCAGCTCTGTATAAATAAATAACTTAGTTGAAGTTTTGTTGAAAACAAGGAGAATGGGGAGAGAGGTTTACTTACTTTAGTCCACACATTTGTTTCTAGGAGCAGGAGCATACCTGTGCTATTAATGGTCAGCTTTCGGACGCAGGTTCTCTCCGCGAGTTGTGGTAGTAACGTGTTCTGGGGCTCTTTGTTTTCCAGGAGTTGGCCTGGGCCCTGCTCTGGAGTTGTGCATTGACGTCAACCCCAGGTAACTATTTCGGTAGTGTCTGAAGTCCCTCTACCTTTACGAATGTACCTTCTGAACACAGACTGTGTTGCTGAGGCCCTCAGTCTAACCGTCTTTTCCGTAACAGCATCCTCCCCACGGCCTTCATTGGCACAGCGATGATCTTCACCTGCTTCACCCTCAGTGCGCTCTATGCCAGGCGCCGTAGTTACCTCTTTTTGGGAGGTAAGTGTGGCCTGGAAAACCTGGAGAGGGTCTCCACTGTAGCTGGGATTCTCACTAGGACTGTTTCCCCTCACCCCAACTGCTTGTGGCTATGGGGTTGAAGTAGAAAGCCTGCCTTTTGGGGCGGACACAAGGAATGGCTGTAGCAGGGTTGTTTTATTTTACTTTGGCTTCTCTCAAGATCGTTTTTTGTCACCTGTTACAGGTACCTTGATGTCAGCCATGAGCCTGATGCTTTTGTCTTCCCTGGGGAATCTGTTCTTTGGATCCATTTGGCTTCTCCAGGTGAGACTTTGCATATAACTTTCCAGTGGCCCTTGGCCTCACACTTCCTTTTCTTGCTTAACCCTGAAGCAAGATAGACCAAGAATCCTCCAGGATGCTTACCTTTGTTGGGCAGTGCTCTTGAAGCCTCCCCACTAATCCCCCTAGGATGGAGCCTTCTGCGGATAAAAGTTCAGACTAAAGGAAAAGATGGTTTGCCCAGAGATCATTTTTCTAAGGCCAGTCCAGCAGCAGCTCCTTGTTAAAATGATTGAATCTCTTTCAATAACCAAAAAAAAAAAAAGTGCAGAACTGTCCTGAGAGAGGTAAGGCGATCGTCACCATAGGCTTCAGTTCCCATGAATGTTAGTGTCAGTGGGGTTAGCATTTGATGTACTTTCCAGTGGCCAAGAGCCAGAGAGAAGTGCGGCTTTCTTCTCTACGCTGTGTGCATATGGTGACCTCATCTCGTTCTTTTGTTAGGCAAACCTGTACTTGGGGCTGCTGGTCATGTGTGGCTTTGTCCTTTTTGATACTCAACTCATTATTGAAAAGGCTGAAAATGGAGATAAGGACTATATCTGGTGAGTGTGAAAATGGGTCTTTAACAAGAATGAAGAGAGAGGCTTATTACTCTGTTCTGCTGCTCTTTTCTGAAGCTGAGACACAGTCCGTTGCCTGGCCCACCTTTCTCTCCACGTTGGTAGGGATAAGAGTAGCTCAGGTAGCGCTAGCTGGACTTAACATGTTCAGGCTTCAGGGTGGGGGTGTGGGAGGATAATGGTTTTAGAACTAAGCACCAAATAGCATGGTTTCTCTCAATTCCTGAAAAACAAGTTAAAAAAAGAAAGATTTTATTTGTTTATTTATAGAGAGGGGAAGGGAGGGAGAAAGATAAGGAGAGAAACACTGAAGTGCTTGAAATGCATGGATCGCTTGCCCCTCGCACACCCCAAACTGGGGACCTGGCCCGCAACCCAGACATGTGCTTTGGGAATTGAACCACTGACCTTTCAGTTCACAGGCCAGCATTCAATCCACTGAGCTACACCAGCCAGGGTGAAAACTTCAGATTTTTAAAAATGGAACTATTCCTGGCTGGCGTAGCTCAGTGGATTGAGCGCGGGCTGGGAACCAAAGTGTCCCAGGTTCGATTCCCAGCCAGGGTACATTCCTGGGTTGCAGGCCAGAACCCCCAGCAACCGCACATTGATGTCTCTCTCTCTCTCTCTCTATCTCCCTCCCTTCCCTTTCTAAAAATAAACAAATAAAATCTAAAAAAAATAATAATAAAAAAAATAATAAAAATGGAACTATTAATACATATTTAGATACCATATTTTACCATGTATAATGTGCTCCTGTGTATAATGTGCACCCACGTTTTTGGCCTGAACTTTCAGGAAGAAAATATTTTGTTTAAATTTTTTAATTCAATTATTTGTTTATATTTAGATATTTGTTTTTTGTATTATAAAGGAATTTTAGCACTTATTTTTTAACATTTTACGTCACAAGAAATTTTATGTAACAAATAGTTACAAAACACAAGAACAAGTATAAGGTATTTCAGGTACTACCCATGTATAATGCGCATCCATATTTTCCCTTAAGAGTTTGGGCAAAAAAGTGTATATTGTACACAGCGAAACACGGTATCCATACTTTTCATAATGGTTACCTGTAGGCAGAGGAGAAGGAAAAGGACTTTTCACCTCTTATTCTTCATACCTTTGTATTCTCTAAGTCTTTAACAATGAGAAGATATATATACGAGTTTTCAAATGTAGGAGTCTTTTCATGCTGAAACCCTCTCAGTCAGTGGCAGGCGGTTCAGGCAGGGTTCACAGCTGGGCCCCTGCAGAACCTCAAGCCCAGTTTCTCTTTTCTCTGTGCTGTGGGTTGGCCAAAAAGTTCGTTCAGTTTTTTCGTACAATGACTCTGGTAGTGCTTAGTTGTCTTTTCATTTGAAACAGTTTTGTTAGATTGTATTGTGACAGCTCTCATGTCAGTGTGCATTAAAAAAAATCAAAATTGGTGAATTTTTGCACAGCTATTTTAATATTGAAGATGGAAGAAAATATGCAGCATTTCTAGTGTATTATGCTTTATTATTTCAAGAAAGGTAAAAATGATCGAACATGTCAAAAGTGGTTTGCGACATTTCTTGGTACTATCCACATTTTGGCTAAATCACTCTTTGCTGTGGGGCCGTCTTATGCATTGGAAGATGTTTTCAGCACCCCTGGCCTCTGCCCACTAGAAGCCAGTAGCAGGAGATAGCTGACCCACTCAAAACATCCAAATCAATAAAGTTGTTAAAAATGAAAAATGTGTCTTTTGTTTTTATGGAAAAAATGTAACGGACTTTTTGGCCCACCCGATACATGGTTTCATTGAGTTGAAGGGATTTCCGACACAATTTTACTTCCTCAGTTGGTGGTGGAGTGTTGTGAAGCCAGTTCAGGGGGTGGGAGCTTTCCGGTTTGCTTCTCTGTGTGGAGAGGAGGAAGGGCCGTCTGTAACCTGCTTCTCTTCCAGGCACTGCATTGACCTCTTCTTGGACTTTGTCACTCTCTTCAGAAAACTCATGATGATCCTGGCTTTGAATGAGAAGGTTAGTCGGCCCACTGCCCAAAGATGGGAGAGTGGCTCCTGAACTCATCCCCTTGTATACTTCAAATCCAAAGACTCGCTGCACGCTGTGTAGGTGCCGGGGGGTGTGCAGCATTGAGTAAGAAGTAGTGACCAGAGGTCTTTAGCTGATGGAGAAAAAGGAACAAGTAAAAGCAGGCCCCCCCTCCTTTTTCTTTTAAACTAATCCCGAAGATGAGTATCAAAGGGAAGACTTCAGGGGCAGCAAACAGTCTGCTATATGAAGAATTTAAAGGCTATAAAGATAGTTATGATTCAGAAAAGGATACACTGGAGTTGTATAATATTGGCAACAAACTTTTGTAAATTATTTCAATAGTAAACCAATTTATCCATTTGTTGGGCTTTTTTTTTTTTTAAGATTTTATTTCTTTTTAGAGAGGGGAAGGGAGGGAGAAAGAAACATCAGTGTGTGGTTGCCTCTTGAGCACCCCCTACTGGGGACCTGGACTGCAACCCTGGCATGTGCCCTGACTGGGAATCGAACCAGTGACCCTTTGGTTCACAGGCTGGCACTGAATCCACTGAGCCACACCAGGCAGGGCCCAATTGTTGGTCTTACTTTTTTTTTTCCCCCCAAAGGAGCCTTCTGTATATATAGTGAGTGTACACTTAGTCCACCCCGCAGCAGGGGAGCAGATGACCCGACCAGCTTTTCTTACAGTCCTTACTATGGAGCGAGACTCAGTGCAGTGGTGGTAGGAGCCCGTGACTGAGCAGGTTTGGTGGCTCTCTGGTCTGTGCCACGACTAGACTGAGCACCAAACAGGTGCCCCAGTTTCAGTGAAAGCAACTCAGCTTTCACTTGTTAGATACACTGGGCTTCCACCTAAGATTGACCGAAGGGTACCCCTAGGCTGGAATGTTTCTGGATGTTGGTCTATGTGCAGTTATGCTTCCTTCTGAGGCCTGATGGGAAGTTAGTGGTCTTGGCCTTGGTCTTGACCTTTTGTTTAGTTGTTTTAGGGTAGACTGCCAGGCAGGAGCTTTCAGTGGCTGAGCTGCAGTGGTTGTGAGGAGCCGAGAGTGGTCGGGCAGCCCACCTGGGTGCTCTTGGAGTGGGGGTGGAGCAGTCGCTTGAAGTTTGTTCTCTCAAGTCTGTCAGCAACTTGGGGGCCCCCCCGCGGGGGGAGTGGAAGATTCAGTCCCTGCTGCACGAGAGGAGCGTTTCTCACTCCCTTTTACTGTCCTGATCCCTTCCAGCCCCTAATGAAAGGCAACCAGGTGTTGGCTCACTTGAGTTTTAGTTGAATGTCTGATGCCAAAAATTAATTGGGTCATTTTTCTCCATTTCCAGGACCAGAAGAAAGAGAAGAAGTGAAACGACCATCCAGCTTTTTTCCCAGTTTGGCTTCCTCTCCCTCCACCCCTTGTTTCCTCTGCACACATCACATGTGGCGTGATCTCTGATAATGAAAAGCATCAGAAAAGCTTTTGTACCTTGTGGTTTTCTCTATTTTGAATTTTTTGATCAAAAAACTGATTAGCAGAACATAGTTTGGAGTTTGGCTTCATATTCCTGGAGTTCTTCCCCAATTCCTTTTCTGTCGCCCCCAGCCCTAGCTTCTTCCTCCACTGAGGCAGCCAAGTCCATCGTGATGAGGAGTGAAACCGCGGAGGGAGACGACTCCAGGAGGCTGCTTCCTGACTGAGCCGTACCAGGTGGATCTGAACTGCTGGGTGGAGGCCCCTCGGCCCTTCCTCAGCACTGTTTGGTGGGTGCACAGTTCCTGTAGCACGGGCGGCAGTGTTTTCCTTGGGAAAGAAGTTTGCTGGTCCTGTTGTTACTCAGGCTCAGCATGTTTGAGCCGTCAAGCCCTACAAAGAAAGTGAAGAGCCTCCTCTGGTGGATTCTTTGCTTCTGAGCTGCCCAAGTGGCTGCTAGTCTGGCAAACACTTTCTGCCTTGCCATCACCAAAGGAATGTGGATTTGTATGTGTTCTCTCCCCTATCTTGTGTCTGACCCTCAGGGAATCTGCCTGCCTTCCATTCCTGGGGTGGGAGTGTTTCAGCCCAAAGGGAAGACTAATTCTTGCCGCACTTAAAAAAAAAAGGCTGATGTTGTATGGCAAGGTAGAGCCTAGAATTCCCAGATTTCCCCTGGTCTTTATTTTTTTTTACTGGTTATCACCTTAGTTACTGAGCGGCCCCCACGAGGTGGCTCTGATTAAAGGTCTCAGGAGAGGAAGATCAGGGGAAGAGAATGGCTGAGCCTCTGGGGGGTAATTGTAACTAATCCTGCCAGACAAACTTGTTGGGACAAAATCTCTACTGCGTGGTTCTTTGTTCGGATCAACGGAACAGGCCGTGATGGCTGGGGAGGCAGCATTCACCCCCATCCTTTGATGCATTTTTGTTCCCTCCCCTCTGGTAATGTCCCTCCTGATAATAGTTACTGTCAAGCCAGAAACTTGGGGTAGGAAATAAATATTTTACACATGCATTTTAGTTTTGGCTCTACACCTGTTCTCTGTAGTTCTGCAGCCTTCCTGGCAGGGCCCAGGTGACCAAGCCTGCAAGATACCGAGTTCCCTGCAGCTTTGTGGTTGTAAATGGAGGGAGGGCAGTGCCAGTGGAGACCACCAGCTCCTCTGTGGCCTGCACAGTCAGCTGGCACAGATGGGTGGTGCTTGGGAGCACTTGTGGCTCTGGCTACTCACAGGGCTGGAGTGAAAGGGGAGCTGAGCCCTGGAAAGCTTACTGCCCATAGGACACCATTTTTTAGCTCTGATCACACGCAGCACACGATTTGGCCCGGTGACTGCTCATTTGTAGCACACCGCCCCGTGAAAAGATTTGTTCCCAGGTTGTGTTTCCCGAGTGACGTGCCACCCTGGATGACTCGCTTCCACACAGGATGCTGCCCTCTGAGCTGCTGCCTCCAGTGTCTGGCTTGAAAACTTACTAGGACTTCCTTCCCATTAATGTCCGTCCCCCCCCCCCCCCTTACAACTCCATACGTTCGCTGATACTTTGCTAGGCCTGCGAATCCAAGTTATATCTCTTGAAGCCAAACTCCACCTCTTGTGCTTTTTTTTGCTTGGGTTAAAGGAGTTTTTCTTTAGAAACAGTGCCAAGAATGATGATACATAAAAAACTACTTTTAAAGAAAATGTCTAACAAGTTTTTAAAACAGTAACCACTTAATTATCACTTTCTTTTCTAGTTCCTTGCTTTTCAGCTCAGGCTGCATTCTCTAACATACTGTGAAGAAAAAGGTGTTTTTGATCAGAAATATATGAAATCTACATAGTCTTAATTTGTAAAAAAAAAAATAATAAATAAATAAAGAAAATTCCTTAACCTTTCCTGGTGTGAACGTATTTTAAATTCAGGGCCGTGGCCGGACATGGTGGGGTTTGAGGGACTTCGTAGCGGGAGCCGGGTGAGACGAGGCTCTTCGCTCTGGGTGTGAGCAGAAGGAAGCGAGCACCCCGCTCGTAGTGGGCACTCGCTCTGTGGCCCCAGCTCGCCGCAGAGGATGGGGATTTTTTTCTGTCCGATACATGGCCTGAGCCTTTTTCTGGTCCTCCCCTTTCCCAGCCTTTATTGTAGGTGGGTTGTGGCAACAGTGCGTGTACTTGGTTCCAGTTTATAGGCAGGCTCAGGAGTCTGGGGGTGTACAATGGAAAAAAGGCGTAATCCACTCATTTGGGAGTACTTTGGGACCCCGGTGTGGCCAGGCTCTGTTCTAGGTGGTAGGAGTCATCTGCGAAGAGCATCCTTGCCTTGTTTATGTGTGAGATTGTTAACCAGAGTTTGGGTTGCCACCTGGCTCTTCTGTTTTGGCACAATTGCCCTCTGCTTGTCATACTCATTGTGGCCACAGGGCTTCCTATTAGGGTTTGACCGTTGCCTGTTACCTGACTGGTTCACCTAGGTTACTTCGAGTTGACAACCTCTTTAAACTCTGCATACCCCCATCCCAGCTAAGGATCGCCACTTTCCCCAACTTAGAAGGTGTGCATGAAGCATCTTTTCTCACTCTCCTCTCCTGCTGCCTGAAAAACGTCAGTCTCAGGTTCTTTAAAACCCAATTTTAGCCTTGTACTACCTTCTATTTGAGGTGAGGGGTAAGACACAAAGGTACAACGTAGTGCTCACAACATACCAGGCACTACACAAAGTGCTTTACGGGTTTTAATAGTCCCAGCAGCCTAAGAAGGTGGTATTTACTTACTACACAGGGTCAGTGGCTTCCAGAGTCGCATCAGCAGACAGAGACAGCTGCCTGCTGTCTGGAAAGAACCCAGGCACCCTGTCTCGAGCTCCAGCCCATCACTTGGGTGACACTGAGGTGGGTGCCATCCTGCGCTTCGTTTTGGCTCCAGTTCTGGCCCGCGTGGAGAGGGAAGTGTGAGCTGTTTGGGTAGAATATCCCCACCACCAATCTGCAACCTTTTAGTGTTTTTTCCCCCAGCGAGCCCACCAATTGCAAATTAAGCAGAAGGGATTAACAAAACTCCAGGTGGAGCAGACCTGTAGGCCTGAGCTAGAATGAGGAAGCATTGGTGTCCAAGTGGAAGGACCTCTTATGTTGGGCGAAGAGAGAGTCCTGCCTCGGCAGGTTATCAGATGGGGCATCTCCACGCTGCGGACGAAGACAGGCACCTTAATCACTCACAGCCAAGGGCAGGAGAGCTACAGGAAGGTGCTGCGTGCTTACGTGGGTAAGCACAGTGGGCCGAGAGACACCCGTGCAAGACATTTAGCCTGATCTGGTGGTTCAGGGAAAAGAGTTTTGGAGACGACAGCTGAGCTAAGTAGGGCTCAGTCTCAAAGACTGAGTCAAAGCAAAACAGTTGAATGGGTATTTCCAAGCCAAAGAATCGGTATGAGAAAAGGCACAGCAGCATGGTTCAGAGGGTGCTAGGGTGGCAAAAAAAAGGTTTTGATGGGTTGTCAGATTTGAGAAGACGGGTAGGAAATGGGAGGGAGGGGTGAGCTGAGGGCCCCCACAGCCACAGTCAGGGACACTGAGGGCTTTCTTCCCAGACGGCCGCAGTAAAGCAAGTGTCACAACAAAGTGAGTTGCAATCTTGTTGCTGACGGAGGGTCTTGCCTTCAAATTGATATATATATAAAAAAAAGACAAACAGCTGTGAAGCTCAATAAAAACAAGCTGAGCCTGTGTTCCACGCTGAGGTGCTGGCTTTGTCCTCAGGGAAACCGCACAGAAGGGCATTGGGCAAGGAGTGGTCAGAGCAGCCCTTCGCATCAGGTGACCGGAGAGTAACCTGGGAAAGGAGCCAGTTGGAAGGCAATTATACTCTTAATGCCCAAGTTGTGGTCTGTCTCATTACCCACTGAAAGGAACCACAGCTCCTTGGATAAATGGTGCTTAAAGGTCGGCACAGGAAACGTACAAGATGAACCTGGAACCTCTGACTCCGGAAAGAAGCTGTCAGAGCGGACTAGCTAATCCACAAGGACTCAGAGGCTGGCCGAACGAGGCTCCCACTGGCTTGAGATGGGGTTTTCAGCACTAAGAGTTCTAAGAGCAGTGGGTTGAAATCAAATATTTTTAAATTCATGATGATATTTTAAAAATATCTTACCAGTCACCTCTGAAGGATATTATAACTGGTCACTTCTGAATATTTGTCAATAAAGGGAAGTCAGCATCTAGCCTTCCTTTTCTGTGTTAACTGTACTTCAGGCAATCGAAAAGTAGGTGAGTTTCTATAGAAACAGTCCAGCTGATAGATGAAGAAACTATTCTGTAAACCTTGGATGACATAATGAAGGTAGGTGATGATGATCAATAACCACCAACATTGTAGTAATAGAGGCACCCGGACGTGTGCCCGCTGATGGACACAAACCCCACCGATGATGCTTTAAGTTGTGGATCTAAGGACCAGTTTACGGGAAGGACAGGAACTGAAAGACAATGTTAAATCACATCACGAGGATGCAAACAGCGAAATCCAGTAAAACTCTTAAGGACAAACAACTTGATTTCTTAAAAAAAAAAAAAAGTGGGGGAGGGACAAAGAAATAAGAACAAAATTAAAAGAGGGAAGGGAATCCCGAGTTTCAGACTTAGGAGTGAGCTGTATCAACAAAATGCAGTGATGCAGACCTTGTTTGGATCCTGATTCAAATAAACAGAGAGGGAGCGGGAGAGGGATATCTGGAGCCATTTGAACCTGTGGTGAGCATTCTGCAGCACAGGCCCTGAAGGCTCAGGCCCCCTGGCATTCGCACCCTCTCACAGTGAAGCAGGCTGGTATGTAGCACTGAGGGAATAAATACTGGGTGTCATTTATGAAGCCAGGTCAGTCATGAAAAGGGCATTGTAGCTTCCTCCTTGGCTTTTTGGTTCACTTGCTCTGGGGGAACCAGGCACCAGCTCCGAAGCCCTTCAGGTGCCCTGTGGAGAGTGCTTGCCGAGAGGACTCAAGGCCCCCACTCCCCAAAAGCCAGCACGGACTTGCCAGCCAAGGTAAAATGAGCCGCCTGGAAAGTAGATCAAGCTTTCAGGTGACTGCAGTCTTGTGAGACACTGAGCAGGACAGCCTAGCTAAAATGCTCCCCATTTCCGGGCCCGTAGAAACTGTGAGCCACAACACATGTTCATTGTTTTCTAAAACCACCAAGTTACACAGCAACAGATACCTAACACAGGCACTGACTACAGAGGTGATTTAAAGAGACACGCTAATGCATAATGTTAATAATGTTATCTTGGTTACGTTCTTTAGAAGTTATCTTTTAGAGGCCTGGCTGGTATGGATCAGTTGGCTGGAGCATCACAATCCCGTAGACCAAAGGATTGCTGGTTCAATTCCTGATCAGGGCACTTACCTGGTTTGTGGGTTTGATCTCCAGTTGGGGTACATACGAGAAGCCAACTGATCCATGTTTCTCTCACATCGATATATTTTCTCTCTCTGTCTTCCCCTCCCTTGCTCTCTCTCTAAAAGCGATGAAAAAAATGTCCTCGGTGAGAATTTAAAAAATAATAATAAAATGAAAGTTATCTTTCAGAGATGCATACTGAATTATTTATAGATGCATTGATACGCTGAGATTTGTCTCAAAATAATGCAGCTGGGTGTCTGCAAAGAGTGGGGGGTAAAGCTGCGGTGAGTGTGTCTCTGTTGGTTGGAGCATTGTCCCATAAACCAAAAGGTTATGGGTTTGATTCCCAGTCACAGCACATGCCTGGGCTGTGGGTTTGGTGCCCAGTTAGGGCACACACAAGAAGCAACTCATTTATGTTTCTTTTCCTCTCTCTCCCTCCCTTGTCCTCTCTCTAAGCATGTCCACGGGTAAGGATAAAAAAAGAGTGGAGGGTACAGAGGAAATGAATGGTCCTGAGTTATACTGGTTACAGCTCGGCAATGGACGTAGTCATTGTACTGTTCTGCTTTTTTGTATGACTGAAATTTCTTGCTTCTTGTCAAGACGGAGTAGGTAAATCAATCCTCATATCCTCCCACAACCGCATCAGAAATACAACTAAACTACAGAACAAACGTCATTCAGAACCTCCTGAGATCTAGCTGAATGGAAGTCCTACAACTAAGAATAAGACACATGCAGAATGGTAGGAGGGGTGGAGACGCCACAGATTGGTCCCACACCCCTGAGTGGCAGATCAAGGTCAGGAGGGACATCTGGGCTGGGAAGGCACAACCTGAGGAGTGAGAGGTTCCGGCCCCCCACCACACCAGGCCTCCCAGCCCAGGGTTCCAGTGCCGGGAAGAGAAGTCCCCGCAACTTCTGAACATGAAAACCAGTGGGGACTGTGACTGAGTGAGACAGAAAACTGCTGGAATCTAAGGCAGTTCCTCTTAAAGGGCCCATGCACAGACTTACTTGGACTCACTCCCTCTGAGCTCTGGCTCTGGGGCAGCAACTTGAAAGGCACCAGGGACATACAGGGAGGAACTGAAGTGTCTGGCATCGAGGCGAGAACTGGCTTTCTCCCAAACGGAAGTGCTAGTAGAAGCCATTGTTCCTTTTCTGAGCCCCCCCACCCCCGACAGAGCCAGCAGGAGGGCCCCCTATCTCAGTCTCCATCAACCTGACTCACATTATTTGCCCCATCCTGGTGATTCCCTGAGATCTCTCCTCACCAACTTGTGGGGCTCACTCAAGTTGTTTCCAGTGGCTTTTCCATATGAATGGCATGTCTTGGCTCACACTTCAGGCTTTCCTAAAAATCTCTCAAACAAGCAGCATCTGCCTTGGTGTGCCTCATGCCTCTTAATGGCCCCAGACCCAGCACTAGCGGCATCTAGCCTTGGTTCACAGCTTGACTTCTCCTGGGCACCTCCAAGCCCAGCACAAGTATCAG